CAGCTTGTATTAAAATTATATTTATGTGTACCAGTTATAATGAATAATTGTCGTAATTTTCAGTACATGCTTTGAAAAGAACACTTCAGCTGTCTTACTGAAAATTATGTATACTAATTTAACTAACATTATACCGATAAAACAAAGTGTGTGTGCAATCAATGTCCAATGATATAATTCGAAAGTGATACAAAATAATTGCTTGTATTTATTGTAAAACAGGAATAAACAAAAAATAAATGATTTTAAAAATACATCATAAACAGGTCAATTTATTGACCCCACTAACAGTCAATACGTCTCGTTGCAGATCATCTTCTGATCCTTCATGCAATGATCTTATGAGTTGTTTTTCTGAGATTGGATGCCATCGGAAAGTGGGACAGTTCTTTTCATAATGGTAATGACATTGATTATTCAATTTGTTTGCAAATCCATATATACTGACTGTGTCACACATACCAAGCATCATTGTAATACCTGAAATATAAAGGAGAACAAAAAGAATATAATTTTAATTACCATTTGTTGTGGCCTCAGTGCAGTAATATTCAATTACAAGTCAAGCCAGTAAATGCAACAATATTAAATACAAGTATAAAATGACAGTCATATATATCTTTGGGTCCATATTCTGATTTGACTATGTAGTGCAGTGTACACCGTAGCTGCTTTTATTTCGTTGTTGATTGTTTTGGGAGATTTTAGTGTACTTGTTGAATTTTTGCTGCCGGTCATTTTTTTTGTCTTTTCGGAATCCTTTTAAATTAGTGACTCTGAAATGGGATATACTTTATTATTTCTACTTGCATTAGAACATTGATTAATTGAAATAATAAAATGTGTATGAAAATAGTGAGTGAATTTGAAAGACATTTTAAATATTATTGTTTCTTTTCATCATTGTCATGCCCACATTTGATTACAGCGTGTTTCTTTCTCCATTTCGTGGTTGATTTAGCTACATGAGTGATGATGATGATGATGATGATGATGAGATTTATTTCTCTGGTGTTTTCTAGTGATGAAACAACATTACCTGTAAATCCTGAAGATGGAACTATTTTCCTGATTGGTTTTCCTGTGTTGAAATATTCCACAACATCCCAAGCATTCCATAATGACTTGGGATGGATAAGGTAGAAATCCTGATTTGGAAAACGTGTCCTCCATGCTATGTACTTGGCAAATATTTGTTTTCCAGGTCGTTGTGTATTATAGTTGGTGTACCACTGTAAAATGTAAGAATAACGTCTAAATGTATACCATAAATCATTACAGTCAGTAATATAGCATATAATGAGTTTAGATATACCTATACTGGTGCAACATGATGGCTATTTGTGTGACATACATAGACTAATAGGGAACTCATTGATTCAAAACTATCATCTGTCCCATCGAATAATGATTCCATATTGCTATATATACACACAGAGCACATCTCTATAGCTCTAAAGTATATTCACATGTACAACTTTCATGGTTGTCTGATGAATATGCATAAGATGGCTGTGACATGTCACTGTAATGTTCACTTAACCTGAATAGGTTATCTGAAAGATATGCTTATGAAGACGTTGTCACTGTGAATTCCATACACTCTGTATATGTTGCCACTGAAATGTCTACTTACTATGGATAGGTGTAATTTGCCCTTACCTTCTTTAGGTCGTCAGTATAAGGTTATCATACCCTGTATAGGTTGCCACTGTAGTTCCCACTAAGAACCATCTTACCC